GGGAATGAACAAATCATGATTATGACTTTATTTAGTTGGAGATTTTTTTGTGTTATTTTTTTTCTCTAAAAAATAATTTTGTATGAAAAGAATGGGATGGGGATATGATAGTCTGAATCTACGATATTCTACACCAGTATTTTGAGACAAGCCATCGATGTGAAGGACTAGCCAGAAATTTGTAAATTGAGGGACAAGAGAAAAATGTTTTTTAAAACTTCGGAAAATCTGTACCAATTGCATATGTTTGTAAGTAACTACAAAACAGAATTATAGACGTTTGGAGTCAATTGAGTAGTACAACTCATTCACCGAGGCAGTCAGGAGGGGACCAAGGGACGTTTTTCTACGTATGTATGTTACACTCTGTTTTTGTAAAAAAAATACTTTCAATCGAATCCTTCGTATTAAAAATACAAGTAAAAAAGCTGTAAGCTCGGCCGGGCCAATTGGAACGAATTTGGCAATTTTCCAAAAAAATAAAATCCGTTAAAATCTTTAAAATACCGAATAAAGTGAGGTGCCGTTATATGGGGGCTATAGCAAAACGTGGACAATTTTCTGTCATAGGCTGTAGTACTCAATACGAACTTCAAATACTAAATTTGAAACGATTCCGGTGAATAATGTAGCTAAAATCATCAAAAAACCGAAAATATGGAGGTACCATGGGGGCAATACCAAAACGTGGACATGCACAAACAATTTTCTGTCATAGGCTGTAGTACGTCAAACGAATGTCAAATGCCAAATTTGAAACAATTCTGGTGAATAATGTCATTAAAATACCGAATATCGGGAGGTGCTGTTTTATGGGGGATATACCAAAACGTGAACCTGCACAGACAATTTTCTGTCATAGACTGTAGTATCTATTACGAACTTCAAATACCAAATTTAAAACAGTTCCGGTGAATAATGTCGCTAAAATCATCAAAATACCGAATATCGGGAGGTGCCGTTATATGAGGGCTATACGAGGACGTGGATCTGCACAGATAATTTTCTGTCACAGGCTGTAGTATCCATTACGAACTTCAAATACCAAGTCTGAAACAATTCCGGAATGGCGCTAAAATCATCAAAATACTGAATATCGGGACGTACCCTTATATGGGGGCTATTCGAAGATATGGACCTGCATAGACAATTTTCTGACATAGGTTGTAGTATCCATTACGAACGTCAAACACCAAATTTGAAAAAATTCCAGTGAATAATGTCGCAAAAATCAAAAAATACCGAATATCGGAAGTTTCCGTTTCATGGGGGCTATACGAAGGCGTTGATCTGCACGGACAATTTTCTGTGATAAGCTGTAATATACGAACTTCAAATACCAAATTTGAAATACCAAAAGTCCTGCAGACATAATATACATTTAAGTAGAATTTTATTAACCGAATTCATTTCATTCGGAAGCTATTGTAATTTTCACAGACGGACGGACGTCGCTAAATCGACATAGAATTTTATGCTGATCAAACATATATATACTTCGTGGGATCTTAAACGTATATTTTGAGGTTTAACACCTGTGTTACTGTGGTGGCAACCAAAGTTAGACTGCTGTCATTTCTAAGCCACTCGTACAACAGCTGTTAAAATTATTCCAGTGACAGCTCATTATATTTTTTACCAGCGTACAAAAGCATTATGGAGAGAATTTTCCAGGAAAAAAGTTATTCCTGATGGAATTCAAGCGCAATAGTGTGATTTGTTTGTATTTGGCTGAAAACCACAAGTGGCTATCGTTAGAGCACTCCAGCATTTAAATGCGAATAAAACTTTTGTGGCTCATACCATCGCTTATTACCGTGATACTGGTAGCGTGGCCCGACGTCAAGGAATTGGACGGAAGAAAATGGGAACATCAGCAGAAATGGGTCCAAAAGTGAAGAAGCGACTTGATCGAAACCGGCGTCGCAGTGGTCGAGAAATGACTCATGAGCTGAACATATCGCAATATTCCATTCGGCAAATATTAAAAAATGAGCTCGGGGTAAAGCCATTGAAATTCCAAAAAGTGCAAGAACTTACACCGCAAAAGAAAGGAAATGGTCTCAAAAGAGCTAAAGAGTTGCTTCGCTTGGCCGAAAGTGGTGAACTGCAGAATTTGGTTTTTACCGATGAGAAATCATTCGTTGTCCAGCAGTTTGTAAACAAACAAAGTGATCGTGTTAACTTGCCAAAGAGGTCAGCTGAAAATGTGTACCTTCAGTTGGCCACCAAAACTCAAGCGCTGGCCATGGTGATGATGTGGGCCGCCCTAACAGCCGATGATCGCTCTCCGCTTGTATTAATCTACCGTGGCATCAGAATAAATGCTGAATATTATCGCGAAAATATTCTTCAGGGTATATTAAAGCCTTGGGCACGCAAACATTTTGGCCACAGACCTTGGACATTCATACAGGATTCAGCAATATCGCACTTAGCACGCGCCATTCAAGAATGGTTACTAACTGAGGTTCCTCGTTTCATTTCCAGCGCACAATGGCCATCAAAATCTCCGCATACCAATCAGTTGGATTATTGTGTCTTTCGTATTTTGAAAAGTAAGGTTGGCACTAAAAATTACCAAAGTGTCGATCACCTCAAGCAAGCGCTTCGCCGGGAATGGGCCAAAATACTTCAAAGCAACATTTGGGCAGCGTGTGACGGTTTCTTTGGCAGTTTGAAGGCCATAATTCGTGCCAAAGGTAACCAATTCGAACAAATCTAAACTTATTCTAAAATTTGATGATATTTCCGATATTTTTTGCTTTCATTCAATAAAATTAAAAAAACTGTAAAAATTATGACGTTTTACTTTGTTGCAGTTTTTTTATCCCACCCTGTATATGGGAGCTATAGCTATAACTGAAACGATTTTCAGCAAAATTTGAAGCACTTGCTTTTAGGTTGAATTCCGTCGAAAGTGCCAAAATACGGTCCATTTGGGTTGATGTAAGCCATTTTGTGCACAAAACACTTGAAATCGGATAACTATATATATAGGAGCTGTATACAAATCTGAAGCGATATTGACAAAATTTCCAACACTTATTTCTGAGCTGTATCTGATATCGGGTTCCAAAAATTATTGTTGTGAAAACCATATTAAGTATGTGAGGGCCCTTAACACCAAATCGGATACATTAAATGCATAGGTGAGCTATACCTATATCTGAACTGATTTTCAACAAATTTGAATTATTTGATTCTAGGATGAAATCGGTATGGCCAAAATTCAGTTTATTTGGATAGATATTAGGCATTTTGTGCACATCAAACCCGGTATCTGGTAAAGATATATTTGGAAGCTATATCCTATTCTGATCCGACCTCGATAAAATTTGACAGATGCATTTTTGAGCTTCACATGCAACCATTATATGGAAGATATAGTTATGTCTGAACCGATTTTCTCCAAATTTCATGTACTTGCTTCTAGACTGAATTCGGTAGGATCTGCCAAAATGCAGGTAATTTGGACTGATATTGGCAATTTGTTGTACTAACTTTGAAGCGATTCTCGCCAATTTCAATAGAGTTCTTCCTTGGGCCAAACATATATTGTTTGACAAATTTTAAGTCATTCGGATAGTAAAAGCGACCTGCATTTTGTTCACAAAAAGACATGGACAGCCGGACGAACTGACATGAATAAATCGACTCCGAAAATGATTCTATGAAGATCCTCGAAAGTAACTATGGGTGTATCTCGCTTCCTTCTCCATATTACAAATAAATCCATATAGACATAATACCCTTACCACTATGTAGTGCAGGGCATAACAATCTCTAGGAAGTTTTGTAATAGGATTTATAGAATTCCTGTAGAAGTTATTTTATCTTTAGGACATCATTCAGCCATTTCCAATAGACGTTTAAGAGGTCTTTTATTTTCGAACGAATTATGACCTCTTATAACACTGGATAACATGTATAGGCCTTCTGTCTTAGAAGACTTGTAAAGAGTCTTCTATTTTGAGAAGTCTATCCAGAGAAGACCTATTAGGGATCGTCCCATAGAAAACCTTTAAAAAGTCCTCTATGCATAGAATACCTTTTCGAGGTCATCATTTTTCAGATGTTCGGGATGTGTCTTTTATCTACTGAAGATCTTTTATTTATAGAACCTCTGCAACATTTGTTCTATCACAGAGGGCCTATGTGAGTATGTAATCCACAGAAGATCTGTGAGAGGCTTTCCATACTTTTTTATTTGCTGCCGGTCTGTAGGGTATGCAAGCTAATGAAATAATCATATACGGCAACTGGTGTGGAATCTACCCACTCACACACACGCTTACTCTCCTTCTAAATACTTAATAATATATCATTGATTTTTTTTCTTTTCATTCATTCGAATTTAGCATCATAAAATTAGCTCTACCACACCACCCAGGCACTGGGCATTCCTAAATAAATAGTTCAGCGTCACATTGGCTACTGCGTAGATAACCAAGCTAGCATGGGCCATTATGGCGGCCTAGGCATAAGTAAGACAAATGTTGGTTCATTTAATAAAATTACCTCCAAAAAAGAAAACCAAAGAAAGAAAGCGAAGCAGGAAACCACAAAAATAGGCAGCAGAGAACAAATTCATGATTACATGTTCGTTTCTAAGGAAGACAAAAAATCCCCCCCAACACACACACACTCACCCAGAAAAATTAAGTCTAAGACATTTATCTTTGCCGAACATGTTTGTGGGAAGATAACTGGAGCAGAGATAAAATAGTCCTTGGATATTGTTCTACATCAGTTTAATGACAGATGCGACGATACACAACCGCACGGACACACGCACACACACACACACACGCACACCATTAATACTAATTTAATGTTGTGTAAAGTTTATTTTAAACTATAGTAGGCTCAACTTATGTTTTTCTCCTAGCCTAATCCGGGGCAAGTTTATTTTGGGGTCATTATTTTTAAGAGCTGCAATTAATCTTTACACGAGTCTCCATGAAGAGTGTTCTTGAGGAATTTGCTGTTTTACATACCTTAAGATGTCGGTTGGTTTGAAGATTTAACTGCCACCGAGAAGTTTGTTTAGGTCTGCAAAAAAAAAAAAAAAAAACAAAAGAAAAATGAAGTATAAGAGATTATGAGATTTATGTATTTATGCTAATTTATTAGATAATGTGAAGTATGATCATATTTTAAGACAAATATGTGGGTACATATTTTATATAAGGGGGAATCTGTGATATGATTTTGTAATAAATGGACTAGCGAATGTAGAACCCTTTTAAACCAGGAACATATGTATGTTTTAAAAGGGCATATATAGAGATAATTTGCTGCCTTACGAGTTAATACCCAAATCGAAATGCTAATACAAACTTTGAAATCATTGCGAATACCAAGAGGTACTTTTATATGAAGACCATACAAAAACATGGCCCCATATGGACCATTCTTCCCATAATTCCCGCCAACTGTCAATTTTCAGCAAATATGGTTTAAAACTATAACTGAACCACAAAAACACATTTAACTCTAGCGGCAGCTTTATTTGACTGTACCAAGATAAAGACGTAATTGTCAATACAAAAAATGTGTAGTTTTTTGCTGCGGTATTTTCGGCTGATTTTTGATGGTGGGTTCTTATCCCGGAATACTTGGGGTCCAACTGATAGTAGCGATGCTACGAAGCCCGACCGGGGGCTCTATTCTGGTATTGCGGGTGCAAGGTATCCCAGACCCTCGGTCTGGTTTTTACCCAATTCGGTGTTGATCGAATATGTAGTTGCATTATCAAGGGAATGAATGTAGGAGTTTATGAAGGCTTTTACTAAAATCCATATATATGACACCATTGCTAAAAAAATGCACGTTTGTGGCGTAGTTGGACCTTGAAAGATTATTCTTCTAAAATTCCATTTATGGCACTGTTGATCCTTACGATATTATTTTTAACAAGTAAAAATGCAGTAAGTTCGGCCGGGCCGAACTTTGAATACCCTCCACCATTTGGAATGAATTAGAAAATTTTCAAAAAAAAAGATAAAATCCATTGACAATTCTTTTAAAATCTTTAAAATATCTAATATAGGAAGGTGCCGATATATGGGGGGATATACGATATTGTGGCCCTATAAAGACAAATCTATGTCTGGGTGTAAAGTACTCACAAGGAACTCCTTGTGTGGATTTTCAGATAATTTAATTGGAAAAAGTGGCTAAAATCATCAAAATACCGAATATAGTGTGGACCTATATAGAAAATTCCGTTTCAGGGGGTAAAGTGCTCACAAAGAACTCCTTGTGTGGATTTTCAGACAATACGATTGGGAAATGTGGCTAAAATCATCAAAATACCAAATATCGCGGTGTACCGTTATATGGGAGCTATACGTTATCGTGAATTTTCTGTCGGGGGGTAAAGTGCTCACAAAGAACCCCTTGTGTACAAAGAACCCCTTGTGACCATTCCGTTGAAAAATGTGGCTAAAAACATCAAAATACGGAATATCGGGGGTACCGTTGTATGGGGGCTATACGATATCGTGGACCTACATAGATAATTCTCTGCCGAGGTATAAAGTACCCACAAGGAACTCCTTGTGTGGATTTTCAGACAATTCCGATAAAAAATGTGGGTAAAATCATCAAACTACCGAATATCCGGGGGTACCGTTATATGGGGGATATACGATTTCGTGGACCGATATAGCCCATCTTCGAACTTGACCTGTCTGCAGACAAAAAAGAGATCTGTGCAAAATTTTAGCTTCCTATCTTAATTCGTTTAGACTGTAGCGTGATTACAACAGACGTACGGGCAGGGCTAAATCGTCTTAGAATTTTACGCTGATCAAGAATATATATACTTTGTTGGGTCTAAAATAATTATGTCGATGAGTTACAAACTGAATGACGAACTTAATATACCCTCCATACTAAGTATGGTGGAGGGTATTAAAATAATAACGATTATTCCTAAGGTTGCCTTTGTAAATATATTCTTAGAGAAATTCTTTGTCCTTGAACCGATATCCCTTAAATACGAAATTTGTTCTATTGGTCCTTGAAATTATATGATTATTCCTCATTGGTCCTTGAAAAATATTCTTGAAAATCCACGATAATTCCTCATTAGTCCTTCAAAATTATTTTTAAAAAATTCACAATTATTCCTCATTGGTTCTTAAAAAATATTCTGAAAAATATACGTTTACTCCTCATTAGTCCTTGAAAAATATTCTTAAAAAATCCACGATTCCTTGAAAAATATTTTTAAAAAACACCACGATCGGTATTTGTCATATTCCTTAAAAAAACACGATTGGTCCTTGAAAATATTCTTAAAAACCCACGATTATTCCTCATTGGTCCCTGAAAATATTCTTAAAAAATCCACAATCACTCCCCATTGGTACTTGAAAATATTCTTAAAAAATCTACAATTATTCCTCATTAGTAATTGAAAAATATTCTTAAAAAATCCACAATTATTTCTCATAGGTCCTTAAAAAATATTCTCAAGAAATCTCGGATTATTCCTCATTGGTCCTTGAAAATTATTTTTAAAAAATCCACGATTGGTCCTTGAAAATTATTCATGAAAAATATTCTTAAAAAATCTACGATAAGTCCTCTTTGGTCCATCCAAAATATTCTTAAAATATCCACAATAGGTTCAGGATAGATATTCCTAAAAAATACACGATAGTTCCTGGAAAAATATTCTTAAAAATCCACGATTGGTCCATGAAAAGTACTCTGAAAAAATCCACAATTGGTCCTTGAAAAGCTATTCCTAAAAGCACGGTTATTCATCCGATGTTCCTTGAAAAAAATATTAAAAAAAAAAACCAAATTTAATGGCAAGTATCTCTTTCAAAAATATTGCTAAAAAATCAACGTTTAATCCTTAAGAAAATTCTTCAAGAAATACACGATTGATCCTTGGAAAATATTTCCAGATACTCCCCGATTGGCATTTGAATAACTGTTTTTAAAAAATGTATTCCATAATAGGTTCTTAAAAAAATATCCCTAAAAAATCCACTATAATTCCTCAGTTGGTCCTCGAGAAAATATTTATTGTAAATCTAGGTTTGTGTCTCTTTTTATCCTGACTTGATTATTCCTTGATGTTTTTTCAATAAAAAACCAACATTCAAGTTCACGCTTGTGTTAGTCATTCTTAGTTTTTCCTTTAAGAATAATCTTAAATATTCGCCGAAATCGGCGTTTATACCTCTATTGGTTTATAAAAACTAGATTTAACCATCCATTATTGTATCTTAGGTGAAAGGTGAAAAAGTATTCCTGAAAAAATCAACAATTATTATTGATGTAAATGTCCTTTAAAAATTATTCTTTACAAATCCGGTTTAAGTCTTTGAATAAATCTTTTTTTAAAAAGTGACGTTTTTGGTTCCTTTTAAAAATTTTCTTAAAAAGTCTACTTTTGTGGATCCTTGAAACAATTGTCATAGAACCCTCACTATCATGGCTTTCTATATCCTTGAAAAAATATATTTCAAAATAAAAAATCCACAATTGATCTTTGAAAAAAAAAAAACATTCTTTAAAATCCGCGATTGTTAATTAAATATACATTCTTTGCAAAATTTTGGATTGTTGTCGCCTAACAACCTATTATTGGAAAATCCATGATTCAATTGTCATGGCATACACCACAAAATATTCTCTTCATTTTTGGAACATGAGTTCCACTTAACGAACTCCTTTGTATGCATTCATAAAAGTGAATTAAAAGCTACGCATTTTGCTCCACGAAAATTAAAAAAAAAAAACATGAAAAATTCAATTTCACATCTGTTGGCGTAATGTTCCAGCTACTCATTTGCATCATCATCATCGTCATCGCCGTCATCATGTCGTATGCCTGGGTGTTGTTGGACCAACATTAGCCATCACCATCGCCATATGATGCAGTCACATGTGGCGTACAACCCGAAATTTTGTTGGTTGCAGTTGCTCCTCGGTTGCATTAATTGAAGTCATTGTAAGTTACGAGAGCGCAAGAGAAATATTAAATGCAATCTGCAATGCAATAGTTGAGCTTTCTTCCCTCCTCCCTACCACTTATCCCTGTGACGGTTGCAGTTGTATGGTTATGTGTTGCATTTATGCAACATTGCTGTTACACATAGGTTACGTATGAATGTAGCCTCAGTGTGTGTTATGTTGGGTTGGGGCGTGTTGCAAATCGTAATGTTGTGCCGTGTGTGTGTTGGCTTGCATTATATGACATCTATGCCTAATTTTTTCCCAGCTGCTGATGTTGTTGCGGCAAGTAGCTGCTACTGCTGCTACTACTCGGTACTTCATCATAGACGTATTGTATCTGGTATGAAATATATTTGCCGAAATTATTTGACAAAAATATGATAAGAATGTTACGAATAATGTGAACTAGGTTGTAACATTAAATACTGTAAATATCGTTTTGATTTTTTGTAAAAATTCTCACACACAATTTGAACATACATTTTGTTTCAAAATGTTTTTCGCAATATCATCTGAAGAAATTATGTTACATCACATGAGGTACTACAGTAATTAAATTTCGGATATTGTGTGGAGTTTCAAACATAGTGTTAAGTTAGTTCTTAAAAATTCACGTTTGTCGCTCTGTTGATTTTTAAAAAATGTTTCAAAAACCTTTAAGTCTATGACTCCGCTCGGTCTTAAAAAAATATTCTTTAAAAATCATCGTCATTGGCTCCGATTTCGAGATTGACCAAAAGAATTCTAAAAACCCGAAATTTTGTGTGTCTGGTGGTCCTTAAAAAATTCTTAAAATTTCCACGACTGTGGTTCTATAAGTCCTTAACAAAATATTAAAAAAATATGTTTCGGGACTATGGAACTATAAAATATTCTTAAAAATTCGAGTTTAAGGATCTGGTAGTCCTTTGAAAAAAATATTCTTCAAAAATCCAAGTCTGTGGATCTGGTGGTCCTTTAGTCCTTGAAAAACAATTGTTTAAAATAATCCAAGTTTGTGGCTCCTTAAAAAATATTTCAAAAAAAAATCTACCTTTGTGGCTCTAAAATATTCGTAAAATATCTACAAT